AGCTGATGCTCTTTTTGATGGAATTATCATAAACAAGGGTAACAACGCGCCTTATAATGTCATCTTGGAACATAATGTGAACAATGTGCTTCGCCTTCTTCTCGGCTATGTTCCTGGTGCTTTACTTACCGTGTACCTAATAGACAAATGGGGCAGAAAACCCATTTTATACACTGGGTTTACAGCATGTGCGTTTTTATTCGTCCTTTTGGGATTCCTGATGCGGTTTGTGCACACAGATGATCTGAGTCGAAACCGTTTATACTATTCGGTTTCTACCGTTACTCTAGTAAGCATTTGTTTTCGTTTTGAAAAATCGATTATTTTTCTCGACGCTAATAATAAGACAACTTTATTTTAAAAAAAAAACATTACTAGTTTTTTTTGACGTTTGGTCCGCATGCAGTGGCCTTTGTCGTGCCAGCCGAATTATTTCCAACACGCTATCGTTCAACTGCTTATGGTTTAAGCGCAACGTTTGGGAAAGTTGGCGTTATAATTTCTTACCTGACATTTGAATGGCTTTATAACGTGCATTCGGTTGAGCATTTTCGTACGCGATTTTTCGTTACTTCCATGATGTATGCCATCTTTATGGCAATTGGAGCGGCATCTACAACTCTTTTACCCGAGACCAATAATAAGCCGTTGGAGAAAATTGCTGACGACGGTGAATTTGTCTCTTCCAATGCAAGACACCATAGTTCTGTGAATGTATAAAGTAAATAACAGACTTTACAGCACCAACTACCATTTATATAGTAGAATTATAAATAGGACAGAAACGGACGTGTTATTATATTGTAGCTATAATATAAATTATTAATAAACTCATGTTATTACCTGAAATAAAATTATGTCCGAAACACCAAATTGAGTGCCTGTCTTAAAAAATTCATTATTCTTCAACAATTCGTCAATTTGTTAAAACTTTTGGCTTTGTCGTGCCGAATATCACAGGAGAGCAGGTACGTGTAATAATCGACACTAGGATTTCGGCAGAGCGTGGCGTCTCCTTCTCTAGGTAAACCTCGGGTTACAGTGACCTTGTCCAATCAAGGCTTTGCACTTACGAAAACCTTCCCGTCGTAGAGTGACACTAATCCTGGATATATTAATTGTATCGAGTAACCCTGTCTACCGTTGGGGTACAATAGCATTTCAATTATAATAATGCGCATCTACATAACAATTAACTATCGTAATATGCCACTCGAATAATCGCGGGACAAGAGGCGATTATAAGTTACCAGGGAATGAATCATTAACAGCGTGTTTCAGACTATAAAGAATTACTCGTTTATTTACAATAAAGGAATCGAAGGTAATTAGAACATTTAACTGAAATCTACGCTACTTATATATATATATTTCGAGCGGACTAATTGATCTGCTATTACTGATTATCTAAGCTATTGTTACAGCGTATCGCTGCTAAATTACTTTTCTATTATTATTATTATTTCCGTACTACCGCAATTGTGTCGCTGCTGTGACCATGTGCTGGTATTACTGCACCGTCGGAGTAATGCAGAAATTCAGGAGAGAATACGTCCGTAGCATCACAGCTTATTCAATTTAGAATAAGATGAAAAAAATTTTTAATAATAGTAATAGGGGACTCTAACATAGTCTCAATAGAGTAAATTTTACAAAAAACTAATAATTTAATAGAATGGGCTAACAAATGATAAAGTCACACGACTCTATTTTAAAATGTCTATGTCCCGCAATTGCTTCTCTTCCTTCACGGTTTCGCCGCTTTCCTCCGCTACCACACTTTCTTCAGTTTTATGATCTGGGGGATTCTGGCATCAATTCTCTGAAGGTTAGGTTTGGTGCCGCATCTTTTCAGTAAGAAAGTTTAAACCGCGTTGTGGTAACAGGTCGGTAGCTCGTATCTAATCGGGAGACCAAAGTTACTTGTCCTCGGCATGATGGTAAACTGCCGGGTAAGTAATAGTAAGTATTATATATTTATAGCGGCGAGTATTCCACGAGCGATAAATATTACCTTGAGTTTTATGGTACACTTAATGTTGACATTTGTCCTATCCTAAATAATATTGTAGAGACAAGGAGAATTTATTACTAATTACTTATAATAGTAAGTTACCCCAAAATAATAAATTCAATCAGACAGTCAACTAGTTTAGTCTATGTAAACTAAAAGAGTTGAAAACATGCATCATGCAACTTATCATTGATAGAAGGAAGTCAACTGACAACATATATCAAAGTACTAACCCTAACCCAACTGCCCACATTGTAATATGTATGTACAATACAGAGGCTCTGCAAAGCAGAACAGTAGAGAAAATACCAAGCTTACATTGCAGACAACCACAGAAAAAACTGACATGAAGGGCCTAACAACAACAGTCACTCGATAGGATGACAACATAGAGCAAAGTACTAACCCTAACTCCAACCACTTGCATCACAATATATGTATGTACAATACAGAGGCTTTGCAAGCAGAAAAAGTAGAGAAAATACCCACTTTACATTGCAGACTGACCACATGGCTGCAGAACAAGCTGAAGTGAAGGCTCTCCAGAAAGCAGAGCATTGTATTATGTCATTGCAGAGATATCCTTATTTCATTAATCTAAACCCACCCTAATATCAATTAGCACATATTCACTGAGTTGTCACATTTTCTGCAAGATATCATATGTTTGTAGCAAATTTTCATAGTGTGTCAGAACTATGATAGTGACTAGATAAAATAATTTATACATACTTAATCACACCCTCATTTTGAATTTTATACTCTTCCTTCACATATGCTTCTGTAACAAGTTTGCCTCTGTCATCAGTAAACCATGCATTTAGGTTGTAAATAAGCCCTATGTCCAATTTTGCATTATCAGGTAATACACCACCCTCAATTAACTTGACTGTTTTTATCATCTTCAAGATAAGGAGCTGGCTCTTTATATGCCTCATATGAAAGCAATGATTAGGGAAATCTCCTAACATCATTGAAAGTGAATACTGACTACTGACAGTATAACACCCCATGCTTGCAAAAGCAGAAACTGTGCAATAGGCTCTCCATGATAGCCACCAAGAAGCATAACACCATCTTTGAAAGTAGAGGTGAGAACATTAAGCAGTTTTAAAACATCAACAGATGGGTCATTTATTATTTGTGATGCTACTTCTGTAAAGATAGGTTTCAATGGTAGACTAGTTATGTAATAAAATGGAAGCAAATAGTGACAATATCTCAAAACGGGCCAGCTACTGCTTGAACCACCATTTAGAGATGGGCAGTTTGATAGAAGTTTAATATGCAATATTATGGGTGGACCACAACCAACAATGTCTGATTCAGCACCAGGAATACAAGAAACTTACTGAGCAGTGTTGTGATGATGCTGATCAAGACAAACATCCAGGTGCAGGGACACTTTTTGTGACATTGGCATTCTAATTGAAGAAATGAACAACAATAATCCTGACAATGCATGGCATACCAACAAAGTAAGACCTTTATCACATCTCGAAAAGGAGAGTAAATACTCTAGTAAGCTAGAAATTTATCTAAACCGAGAAATAGCTATGATTTGGATTCAGCTGCAGGTATGGTTACATGTTGATACAAATGAAGTCGATATTTCTTATAATTTAGAGACTCAAATAGATGTTATAAGCTGAGGTTGAGACAACAAACTTTAAAAATGTGGGTTCAATCTTTACAATATGATAACATTATTTGTGCGCCAGTTTATTACAGGTAATTTTTTGATAATCATCCTAAGAATTGACTTACCGGAATAAATCGGCATGAATTGTATCTTAGGATTTTAAAATATAGTTAGTTCGCGCGGTTCAGAAATAAGCAAATTATATACCAAAGCATGCATCAGGCTTAGTAAGTATAAGGGCCGGCCCTATGATATATGTCACCCTTTTATGATCACGTATGTATAATGGGCCGATATCGATACCTCTCACGACGTCATTATACTTATTCATTTCCCAAGTAGTCATCATATCTATATCAAATAATTCATCTCCAAACAATAGTATATCAATACCTTCTTTATATCTTGCATTGTCATAAAGTGTCGCTTACGACTCTCGTTAATGTCCCGATTTTTCGATCGTCAAAATCTCGTTGGCCATTTTCTGTTTGATAAGGTGTGTGGTTTAAGGTGTTTAACAACTGCTGTTGAGAGTGCTATCACTTGCTAAGTTTAAGACTTCACAATATACATACACCTTTCTTAAAATCACAATCTTTCCAGTATTTATGCAACACTCTGGAAATCGTAATCCTAACTTTCCATCAAGGATCAAATTTCATATGACGATCTTTTGTGTAACATAAAATGGGGGTCCGTATTATTTCATCGACAATCAGTACATTTCGACAATTAACTACCAAAAAAGGATAACTTCGAAATAATGTTGGTGAATATTTGTCGGTGAAATGATTGTCGATGAGTGAAAAACAAAGGCTCACGCCAAAGATAGAGATTTTCGGAAATTTACGTTAAAACTTTCGCTATAATGTAACTCAAAGAAGCTAATTACAACGTGTCCTCGCATAATTAACTAAAACAATTGTCATATTTTAAAATATGTAAATTTAAATTTTGAGACGATTTGGTTTCGATTTCGTTGAATGATAGTCGGAAATGTAAAATTTGCTAAAGTTTGAGTTTTTGTAACTATATATTGTTATCTACTCGCCAGAATCCAGTCACATTTCACAATTCGACGCGCCTCATTGTTGTTAATAACTTTTATTAATATGTGTTTGTTTACTAACAAACAAGTTAAAAAGTTTTTATATAAGCAACTTGATGAGACGCATGATTTCGTTTAGTTATCCAACACGAAAATTTGTACTACTTTGTATTATGGCTTCTAAAAGAAAAGAACTAAATACCTCCCAGCGTGCACAAATATTGGCGCTTGAAGAGTGGGTTCAAGTCTTAGAAAAATCGCTCAGACACTTGATCACCCTTATACAACTGTCCAGAATGTCATTAAGGCTTATAAAGATCAAGGAATTGTTAAGCCTTCTCCTCGAAGGGAAGACAGAAAATAATGTCAGGAAGAAACAAACGCGCTTTACTGGGAATTATCAAAAGGATAGGGAAATGACGCTTTCAGGTAGAATTCTCAATTTATGTCAAGTTATATTAAACTAATTTGCCAACTTTCTACTTGCATATTCAAATATCATTATGAGAAATTAAGAATAGTTTTGTTGATTCAACTTCAATGGTTGTTTCTGAAAAAACTATTAAATGGGAACTCCATCAATCTGGCTACTTTTGTCGTGTGGGTACTAGAAACTTTATATAAATGAAAAAAAAAAAAAACCAGAAAGAAAAGATTGGATTGGGCTAAGGAGAAGAAAAACTGGAAAAATGAATGGGAAAGATTATATGGAGTGACAAATCATATTTTCGTTTATTTAATGGGGATGGCAGAAGACTGGTGTAATGTATAAATATGTATAAACTGTTAAATGGACTTTGTAAAAACGATAATTTGAACGACGGTATATTGTATGGTGTTTGTTACTTAAATTTTTCAACATATTTCGGTATTATAACTTGTATTACCAAATACTTTTCATGGATAATAACTGTAAATGTGAAGCCAAATAAAACTACCAGGCTACTTTTGGATATAACACCAGACGATGAATAGACGAATAAGACGTAACGCCTACTTTACTGAATCTAGTTGGTACGCTTATAACATTATTTAGTAAGTATAGACCTGGAGTTTCAATCGAAGTAACCATTTAGGATTGATGAAAAACAAACTTTTCTGATAAGGTCGACATCATTGTCGCTTTTTTTTTATAGAATAATAATGAAACAAGTTTGTGCTTGAACTCTGCATCCAAGGTGTCCAAGAGTAAGGTAATCATTTTGGGTTTTGGCCATCGTCATTATTCACGTCATGGTTAACGATTAGCCTTAATAACGAAAAAGTGAAATGAGTTTATTATAA